TACCACAAGACCCAGCAATTCCACTCTTAGGCATATATCCAAATGAGGCAAATTGATACAACAAGGGCATCTGCTCCACTATGTTCATAGCAGCATTATTTGTAATTGGTAGAACCTGGAAGCAACCTACATGTCCCTCAACTGAAAAGTGGATAGAGAATATGTGGTACATTTACACAATGGAGTATTACTCAGCAGAAAAAAACAATGGAATCTTGAAATTCGCAGGTAAATGGATAGCACTGGAAGAAACCATCCTGAGTGAGGTAACCCATTCCCAAAAAGACAAACATGGTATGTACTCACTCATATATGGATTTTAGACATGGATCATGATAATGCCAGTCTGCACTTCCACTGATAGAAAGTCTGGGAAACAGGAAAGAACCTAAAAGATATGCATAGTACCCAAGAGAAGAGGAAGTAGGCAAGACCCTCTAAACAGATGGGGAACACGGCGAGGCGTGGGGGGAGTGGGAGCTGGGAAGAAGAGAAGGGGAGAAGAGGAAGAGAGAGTAGGTCATGGGGGAACAGTAAGTTGAGTGGGTGGGGGTAGAATAGGGGGAAGAGGGAATCATAGGTTAGAAGACTGATCAGGCACCAGAGTGACCTCTAGTGGTCCAAAGAGATGACACCAATTGGCAAGCTAAGCAATAGTGGAGAAACAACCTGGAATGCCCATTCCTGATAATGAGCTTGATGTCTATAACCATCCGGGATCCTTCATCCAGTGACTGATGGAAGCAGAGGCAAACACCCACAGTTAAGCACTGAACTGAACCCAAGGAACCCAGTGACAGAGAGAGAGGAGTGATGAGCAAATTGGCAAAGAATGGGCTGACAAAACCTACAGAGACAGCTGCTCTGAACAGGGGAGAGCTCTTGGACCCCAGACCGACAGCGGGGAGGCCAGCATGGGACTGATCCGGACCCCCGAATGTGAGTGTCAGTGAGGAGGCCTGGGCAACCTATGGGGCCCTGAGCAGTTGATCAGTGTTTATCCCAGGAATACAAACAGACATCGTGTGCCCATAGCACAAAGAGGGATGCTCTCTCAGCCTGGACTCTTAGGGGAGTGCCTGGACCCTACCCTGAGTGAAATGACAGACTCTAGATATCCCCTATGTGGAAGGAATTGGCAATAGGGTGGGAGGCTGGGGTGGGATGTGGGGTGCGGGAGGAGGGAAGGGAGAGGGAACTGGGATTGACATATAAAACAAGCTATTTAAAATTAAAATAAAAAGTGAAATTATTATATATTTAATTAGAAACAATCTTGCTTCACATGTCATTCCTAGCTCTCTCTCCCTCGCCTCCATGCCCGCTCCCCTCCCCACCAGCCCCCACCCAATCCCCACTCTGTTCCCCAAGAAGGGTAAGGCCCTCCATGGGGGATTTCTGGAGTCTGTCATTTCGTTCTGGGGAGGGCCTAGGCCCTCCTCCAAGTGTCAAGATTAGGAGCGCATCCCTCATTGTGGGATGGGCACCCAAAGTCCATTTGTGTCCCAGGGATATATGTTGATCTACTATCCAAAGCCCCAAAGATTGCCTAAGCCTTCTTACTGACACCCACATTCAGGGGGTCTGGGTCAGTTCCATGCTGACCTCTCAGCCATCCCTCTGGGGTCTAAGACCTCCCCCTTGTTCAGGTCAGCTGTTTCTTTGGGTTTCACCAGCCCAGTCTTGAATGCTTTGCTCATTACCCCTCCCCCTCTGTCACTGGGTTCCAGGAGTTCAGTTCAGTGTTTACCTGTGGGTGTCTGTCACTGGATGGAGGTTCTAGGATGGTATATAAGATTAGTCATCAAAATCATTATTAGGGAGGGGCATTTAAAGTAGTCTTTCCACTATTGCTTAGTTTGTCAGTTGTATTATCCTTGTAGATCTCTGGAAATCTCACTAGTGCCAGATCTCCCCTCAAACCTAGAATGACTCCCTCTATTATGGTATCTCTCATTCTCCTCTCCTCTATTCTTTCCCCAACTCAAGCTTCATGCTCTCCCATGGTCTCCTCTCCCCTCCTCTTCTCCCCTCTCTTTTTCCAGTCTCCCTCTCCGCTCCACCTGCCTCACCCCCCACCCCCGTGTTCCCAATCTGTTCAGGAGATCTTGCCTCATTCCACCTTCTCTGGGGTACCATGCATATGTCTCTTAGAGTCCTTCCTGTTTCCCATATTCTATGGCAGTGGGATTGTAGGCTGGCACTCTCCTGATCCAGGTCTAAAATCCACATATGAATGAGTACATACTATGTTTATCTTTTTGTGACTGGTTACCTCACTCAGGATGGTTTCTTCTAGTGCTGTCCATTTGCCTGCAAATTTCACGATTCCATTGTTTTTTCCTCTGAGTAGTACTCCATTGTGTAAATTTACCACACTTTCTCTACCCACTCTTCAGTTGAGGACATCTAGGCTGCTTGCAGTTTCTGGCTATTTCAAATAGTGCTGCTATAAACATAGTGGAACAGATATCATTGTTGTATGAATATGCATCTTTTGGGTATATGCCTAAGATTGGAATTGCTGGGTCGTGTGGTATACTGATTCCCATATTCTTGAGGAATTTCCATACTGATTTCCATACTGGCTGTACCAGTTGGCACTCGCACCAGCAGTGGAGGAGTGTTTCCTATTCTCCACATCCTCTCCAGCATAAACTGTCTTTGGTGTTTTTGATTTTAGCCATTCTGATAGGAATCTTACAATGGTATCTCAGAGTTGTTTTGATTTGTATTTCCCTGATAGCTAGGGATGTTGAGCATTTTCTTAAGTGTGTCTCGGTCATTTTATACTCCTCTATTGTGAATTCTCTATTTAGTTCTGTAGACCACTTTTTAATTGGATCCTTTGGTGCCTTGGAGACTTGCTTCTTGAGTTCTTTGTAGATTTTATTGATCAAATCTCTGTCAGATATGGTATTAATGAATATCTTTTCCCATTCTGTGGGCTGCCTTTTTGTCTTGTTGACTGTGTCCTTTGCCCTGCAGAAGTTTCAGGAGGTCCCATTTGTTAATTGTCAATCTCAGTGTGCTACATTCAGGAAGCAGTCTCTTGTGCCAATTTGTTCATGGGTGCCCCCCACTTTCCCTTATGAGAGGTTCATTGTGACTGGATTTATGCTGAGGTCTTTAATGCATTTGGACTTTTGTTTTCTGGGTGGTGATAGACATGGATCTTTCTGCAGTTTTTACATGCCGGCATCCAGTTATGCCTGCACCATTTGTTGAAGATGCCTTCTTTTTTCCATTGTAAAATTTTAGCTTCTTTGTCAAAAACCAAGTGTTCATATGTGTGTGTGTGTGTTAATATCAGGGTTTTCAACACGATTCCATTGGTCTGCCTGTCTATTTTTGTGCCAATATCAAGCTGTTTTCAGGATTATAGTTCTATAATAGAGATTGAAGTCAGGGATGGTGATGCCTCTGGAAGTTGCCTTGTTGAACAGGGTTGTTTTGGATATCCTGTGTCTTTTGTTTTTCCATATAATGTTGAGAATTGTTCTTTCATGGTCTGTGAAGAATTGTGTTGGGATTTTAATGGGGATTGAATTGAAACTGTAGATTGCTTGATGCCACCTCTCCAAGAGCATGGGAGGTCTTTCCACTTTCTGTTTTCTTCTTCAGTTTCTTTCTTTAAAGACTCAAAGGTCTTAATATACAGGTCTTTCATTTGTTTAGTTAGGGTTACCCCAAGATAATTTATGTTGTCTGTGGCAATTGTAAAGGGTGATGTTTCTCTAATTTCTTTCTCAGCCCATTTATCGTCTGTATACAGTAGGGCTACTGATTTTCTTGAGTTGATCTTGTATCCTGCCACTTTACTGAAGGTATTTATCAGCTGCAGGAGTTCCCTGGTAGAGTTTTTCGGGTCACTTATATAAACTATCATATCACTTGTAAATAGTGAAAGTTTGACCTCTACCTTTCCCATTTGTATCCCTTTGATCTCCTTTGTTGTCTTATTGCTCTAGCCAGAACTTCAAATACAACATTGAAGAGGTATGGAGAGAGTGGACAGCCTTGTCTTGTTCCTGATTTTAGCAGAATATCTTTGAATTTTACTCCATTTAGTTTGATGTTGGCTGTTAGTTTGCTGTATATACCTTTTATTATGTTTAGGTATGTTTCTGTTATCCCGGATCCCTCCAAGACCTTTATAATGAAGCGGGGTTGGATTTTGTCAAAGGCCTTTTCAGCATCTAATGAGATGATCATGTGATTTTTCTTTTGCAGTTTGTTTATATGGTGGATTACATTGATGGATTTTCATATGTTGAACCATCCCTGAATCCCTGGGGTGAAGCTATGTGATCATGGACACATTGGGAAGGAACGAGGCCCTGCCCAGGATGATCTAACAGACTGTGAAAATCCCTTGTGAAAGCCCTTATCCTCCATGTGGAGCAGAGGTGGGACGGAGTGGGGTGGGGGTTTGGGAGGATTGAGGGACCGGGGGAGGAGTGGAGGGAGAGGGAACTGAGATTAACATGTATAAAAAGATAAATTTTAAAAAGGAGAAAAAAACGTTTAAGATTTCAAAAGTTTCACATGTTTTCTGACACTGGCTGGTGGTGAGCACCCGAAAATCTGATCATGGCTGGAATATTGACCTGATGATGGAGTCATCCTCCCTTTCCCATAAACAACGTTGCTACCTCCACTGTCCCTTCGCACTGAATTGCATGTGTGGCTGAGAGAACCTGCCCGTTAACAAAGACACAAGGAATAACCATCAGTCTTTTATACATAGGTTTTTTTAATAAAAATTATATACATATTACAAAAAAAGAAAATTCAGAACTCATTGGTGCAAAAGCTGATTATAGCAGCAGAGTGACAGTCACATTTAACTGGAGGGAAACGTCCCAGAGTTTCATACCATAGCATGGACCTTCGGCGATCCCGCGGTCATTCCCCCCACAGCAGAGGCTGCTTTGCAAAGGGGGAAGCCCTCCCGTGTACATGCCGTTCCCACTTCTTCCTTGTTGCTTGTCCAGCGCTCACACGGTAGGGTAGAGGGCGTAGGAAGCGATTCCACAGTGGTTGTTTCTGTCTCGGGCTATCTTTATGTAACCATTCTCGCCCCAGTAAGTACCCCAGCTGGAAGAAGAGCACATTCACCATTCGGTAGAAAGAACGCAACACAGAAGCTTCCTTCCTTTCGCTCCCGACACAAACACAGAGGCAGAGGACACACTCGACAGACGGGATGAGGGATGGCAGAGGGTCACCCCTTGGATACCGACTGTCACCCTCACAAACGACTGTGGATCACTGCAGAGAAAGGGCAGGGCGTCTCCCCACCTACGTTTACTCAGGACTAGAAATGCAATGCTTCCAGTCCCATCCTCACACTCTCCAAACCATGGAGGTCTTATCATTATAACCGCCATAAAACCTCCCTATTCAAATCATGTGGGGCAAACCGCTGAAGCCTGCACCCAACTGCTGCCTGAAAATAGCCTTTAGGGTTTCAAGCATAAAATTTCCCCCCTTCGGCTGTTTTTACCTGTTCTTGACAAGCCAGTATTTCCTGCCATCTGATTCTTCACCATAGCCAACCACCAGGATGGCGTGATCCAACTTAACGCTGCTACAGTCTGGCTCGTAATACATGCCTGGCGGATAAAATCAAAGCTGAATGAGAGGCTCCATTGACCCCCACAGTGACTGCTGTTATCCGCAGTAAGGGAAACATTTCCAACTTTGGTACAGGCCACGCAGACAGGAGTGATTCTGTGTTAGCAAGGCTTGAGAGGTAAGTGCTTATGTAATATAACAGAAACAAAGGTTAGCATAAATCCTCAGGGAAAACATTTGTTTGAAGGGTGTGTAAGGAACCTCGACCTGCTTACAAGGTGTGTCAGTCCATGGACACTAAAAAAAATATGAAACACATGAATCAAGAAGCCCTCCCCATCCCACCTCCCTTAGACTGCCCTACAGAAGCAGGATATCTATTTAAAATCACAAAGATTCAGCAACAGTAGAAATTTCAATAAAAGTAAGCCACATTAAACTTGACCTTGCTATTTAAAAAAATATTCAATGCTGTTCACATTTCATAGGATTGTTCTTAATTAATGTTGAGCAAAAACAAAACACACAAATGTTTTTCCTGTCCAGTTAGTATTTGCAACTCAAGATGCTAATGTCAAAATTAGTGTTCAAGTAGGTGAGCTTTGGTGGAGGTACCGCCCTAGCTTGTGGTTGCTGAGAAGAAAATCACTTACCACCCCTATAGAACTGGAATGAACGGTGCTTAGTATCAATTGCAGCGGAGATGGGCCCCACGGTGGCCACAGCCTTCATTAGGGCATCTTCGCTTTTTGGGATATTCACAAAGCCCGTGACTTTAGCAGCAGAATATTTAGGGTTGTACCTGCAGGTTGTATTCTTTGAAGGACAAAGGTAAAGCAAAAATCATGGTTATTGCCATGCATCTCCCGGGGACCGTGAGTCAGAACCACAGCTAACCCAGCATTGCTGCTGAGGATCTCCAGATTTATGTGTTTGTGAAATGTCGCAAGTCCTGGCAAGCTGGTAGAAACTAGCTCATGCGTCTTCCATGACACCCCATAGACATTCTTACTGATAATAAATTTTCTCAGGGGAGACATCTGTGCTATTTGTGGAATGGTTTGCATGTACTCCATGTGAACAGAAGCAGGGGCAGCTGCATGGAAACCATGGAATCAGACGAGCATGCAGAGGCTGACATTTAATGGCAGCACTGAGGATGTAATAGGATGGATTGTATCATGGAAAGATGAGATTTTAGGACAGACCATTTATTGTCGGCATGATTGTTGTGCTTCTCAAGACCTGAGTTGGAATGACAAGGCAGGATTCCTACTTACACGTGCTTCATAAGGATAGGACACACTGGTGTCCAAACCTCCGTTGTTGATCACATACTGGAAGGCATACCCCATCAAGCCACCACGACAACCTTTGTTGCCATATGACCAGGAACAGTCCACTAGGTTCTGTTCACTCAGAGGAATCAGTTTCCCTGTTTTCCGGAACATTTGTCCTACTAAGGAGCCAACGGCACTAAATGCCCAACAAGAGCCACAACTACCCTAAAAAGAAATAAAAAGCTGTCACCTACAAAAATAATACAGAAATTCATACAGATGTTTGATAGCAATTTACATGATATAATAACTTCATATCGAAGTGTATGCATATCCACAGTTAGTAAGACAAGGACAACATTTCCTTCCAAGCTTCCTAGTGGACAATGACACGAAGAACTTGTCATGTCCTACCTGGGGTTTCACAGGTGTCACATAGCCGTGCTTTCTCCAATCCACAGACTTGGGGACATCACCCAGAAGAGGCTCCTGGAATACGTTCATCTCCTCGGTTCCCATGCTTTGAAAGCCAGTCATCAGTTGCCCGAATTCTGTATTTGTCTTCAAGAAAAAGTAAACGAATCATTTCAAAGGGAGACAGAGAGAGAGGACTTACAAGGAACTGAAGAGAAGAAATCATGTTCTGTCATCCGTGTCACACTCACCAAGTCACCAAAGGCGTTCATCTCCAAGTGGAAGTCATGCTTCCCCTTAGCGTAGTCCTCGTTATGCAGCTCAATCATTTTCCTGTTGCTCTCCCACACTGCTCTCTTCTGCCCCTCTTCATTCTAGAATAAATACAGCATGGGGTCTTTTTTTTGTTTTTGTTTTTGCTTGAAACCCAACCCTGGCTCCCTCGGTGGACCCGCTGCTATAGTTGGTGAGAATCAAGGGACGTTGTCCACCCCCAAAAGACATAATCCAGACCCCATGTCAATACAGTGGTTTGCATCAGTGCTCATATCTTGTGATCATGTCAGGGAGTAACTGGATTTCATGATGTGAACTGTATATAAATTTTCCATAGCAAGGACCATTGTCTCTGTGTTGCCTCTGGGTAGTTTTCATGGCACCAACCATGATGTATGTTTTCCCATGTTTTGTCTTCCATTCGTTCCATTCATCATCCAAACTGGGATCATGTGTTGGAGCACCTGAGACCACCACCAAGCAAAGAGTGACCAAGAATAAAATAGGAATCATGCTTCCAGAACCTAGAGATGGAGAAAAGAATGAGATTCTGATGACATCGGTGCTTCAATAAAAATCCTATTTCTGCCTCAGAAACTCAGGTTGCCTCATGGAATGAAATTCCTCAAACCCTTCTATCTGTGATTTCCCCTTGGTGAAAAAAACCAAGAATGCATTTATTTTTAAGCACAGTGGTAGAGCGATTCCATCAGTCAAAAAATGAACATTTGCCAAGGGCTCCAGGGTTTGGAGTGTGTGTGCACTGTGCACTTAACTCACCACTCGAGACACTCCTATTGGTTGAGAGGCTTAAAGCAACAGTTAACTTCTTAAGACATAGTTGTCTCAGGTTTTATGCCATTTTTTTGGTTGAGCTCAGGCAAGTTAAACAAGACCTATGCACAGCGTGATCCACAGCACATACAAAGAGATCTGCACGGATTGAGGTTACCTGCCATATTTTCCCTGGACCAGTGAACACATGGAGGGCCACTATGCCTTGGCTTCTCCCCCTCTCAAATTTTTCTGGGTTGTCCTCTCTGGAAAATCTTGGAAAGACAACAGCTAGGATTATGTCTTCCTTATAACTGGGATGGACCTTTAGAACCCCATCTTATTGTCTTAATGAGGACTGGCCAGAAGGCCAAGTCAGTGGTCAGCAGGGCCACCTGTATTATGAGACTAAGGCTCAAGTCTTACAAGTTTTTGAGATAGAGCAACTGACAAAAGCCATGTCATATATTTACCTCCTCAGTTTGCCATAGTAGACAAGTGGATTTTTTTTTTGGCAGCAATGTGACTAATGATGTTTCCCGTTGCCACTGGAGTTATACCCACGGCAGCAAGAGTTTGGGGGACAAGATGGAGCTTCCTGTACTCTGGTCTTGACTTTCAATTTACTTGGAAACCCAACAAAATAGGACCCCTGGAATGTCAGTTGACATTTGGGATCCCCGCTCACCTTACTCTGCACTCTTACACCAAGTCTACCAAGGCTGAGTTGACACTCTCATTCCTGAGGGGGCTACATGGTGCTTCTCCCTAGAGGGCTACATGGTGCTTCTCCCTAGAGAGTGTCTCTAAGGTGCTCAGCTAGTGTAAGTTCCCAGTCTGCCTTGGGAGATGCATTGGGGCTCACCTGAGATGTCCACAGCCGGGCAGGTGTTCTTCACTGTCTCAGGTCTTCAGAGGCCGCTGAGATCCCAGGTTCTGTCGCAGCTGCATGTGGATCCAGGCTTTAAATCCCAAATCTGTCGCTCCAGGACATAGTTCCCATCCTGTTACTCCTCCCTGCATGACCGGGTGGCAATTGGACTGGACCTCCAGGCTGTGGAACTGCAGACACACACTGACATTGATGTCCACCCTGTCCTGGGGCATTGGGTGTGAGCTGCCTTTGTGGACAGTGGAAAAGAGAGAAGTAGACCACTGCTCGAGGAAAGTAGAATGTATGAGTTTAATGACGATTGTGGAGAAACTACTCTTTGTGAAAGAGGGCTTGGCACTTGGCTCAGGGAAGAAGGTTACAGCCAGCTGTGTGTGGGTTTCCAACAAAACCCCGCTCATCTATTAGAAGTAGAGATTTTAATAAAATCCCTGTCAGTGGTGCACATGAGCATTAGTTATATTTGAGCCCATTGTTGCCCTTAATCCACAGCTGAGCTGGGTGCTTACAGACTCTATGATCATTTTTCCAGTGTCAGGGATGATGGCAGCTGGGTTACTAGGAATCTTTAGGGGAAGGCAATCTTCAAACAGGAAGGTCACAAGGGGCTTTGAAGGTGGAGATGGAGAACTGGAAATGTGTAGGTACAGTCCTCCTGCATGAGATCCTCAACAACTAGTAAAGGCACTATGTAGTTTTCCAGAGTTTGGTGGCACCTGTGGGTTGTTTGTGTGGTGCACGGTGCCTGCATAGTGGGACCTGCATACTGGGAGGAACCTTGAGAAGGCATGCTTGGGGTGGGGGCGTGGTCTCTGGGGGAACTCCATGTTGCTTTGGAAATGGTGACGGGCAGCAGGCTCAGCACAGGAGCTGCACGCACACTGGGGTGTCAGTGATGGCTCTGTAGAAAGCTTGAGTATGCTCCTCAGTCTCGTGCCGGGCTGTCAGCAGTGGTCACCAGGATCTTGTCACTCGTGTCTTCCTTCCCTTCTGTCTCTGTCTTGTGAGGAAGGATAGGAAGAAGGAGATTCCACAGTGCAAGGGGCAGTTGCGGACTCAGGATGGTGACTGTGGGGGAAAATGGCCTTGACCAACTTCAATTTCCTTGGAGATCTCTAGTCGCATTAACTAAAACTCATCACAAAATCACCTCCCTAAGATAACTCCTGCTGTGTGTTTGCTCCAGAATTCCTTCCTGGGACATTCACATTTCTGGTTCCTTCAATGCGTGGAATTTTTTCTGCACTCTGGGAATTCCCTAAGTCTTCTAATCATGGCCAGTTTCTGGCCAATAACCTTATAAGAAGTTCGGAAAAATTTGGTTCTGTGTCCAAATAAGCCCTTTAAATAAGGCATCTGATGACAGGTTAGGGGTCACTAGGGAGAATTTCTGTTTGGGTCTTTGTGTTACCCATGAAGAAGCCCCATTGTTATGACAGTGAAATGCTTCTACTGTGTCCCAAGGTGTCCTGGAATTGCAGGTGTTTTTGTCACATGTTCAGGTGCAGACTCTGAGCTGATTTAAGGAACTTTGTCAAATTCTTTTTATTCCTTATCTCCTGCAGGTACCAAGTGTAGTGTCATCCCAGGCACAGTGTTACTGCAAACACTAAGTGAAAATGTCCAAGATAAGACTGTTGCCAAATAGACCAGTGACAACTCAGTCATGGTTGTCACAAAATGTTGTTCCACCTCCCAAAAAAGCATTTAACACCTGAAGTGACACAGAACATTCTTTCTGTTAGTTTCCAGTCATTATTTTTGTCAAAGCCTAAAGGCTTTTAAGAGTTAGCCTTGGGAAACCAGTGATCCGGGCTGACCCTGCATGCTTTGGACATAAGTGCGTCTTTTCTTTCCGGTGTCGCTCAAACTGCTACCAAACTCCTGAGTAATTGATAAGCCAATAAGGATGAAGTATAAACCAGGAACCTGGACCAGATCATGAAAGGGAACTAGCCAACTAGAGCCAATTTTAATGGCGGAGGAGCCAAAAGAAAAAAAAATGAAATTCAAGATGGATGTAAAACTAGTAAGATGAATTGACATTTAATCTCAGCACCCAGGAAGCAGAGGCAGGAGAACCGCCGTGACTTCCAAGCTAGGCTGGTTAATATAATGAGTTCTAGGCCTGCCAGGGCTACATAGTAAGACTCTGTCTCAAAATAAAAAAAATTAAAATAAATAAATAAATAATAAAATGGGTAAGCAATCAGGAACTTACAGACTAAACTTCTGTAGTACGTTTTTGCAGGGGTGGACCTGTGTCCGGCTTAACATTATGGTAAAAGGAATATAATATTTGAGACAATTTTTTGTTAGTTTTATGAGACAGGGTCTCTCTGTATTGTTTGGAGGCTGTCAGTCCAGCCCAGCCTCGTACTCACAGATATCCGCCTGCCTCTGCCTCCCCAGTGCTGGGATTAAAGGCGTGAGCCACCACTGCCCGGCTTGAGACAATTTTTATGAAAAAGATTTATTTATTTTTTAAAAATTATATGCATTGGTGATTTACCTGCATGCATGTCTGTGTGAGGGTACCAGATCCCCTGGAAGTGGAGTTACAGACAGTTGTAAGGTGCCATGTGGGTGCTGGGAATTGAACCCAAGTCCTCTGGAAGAGCAGTCAGTGCTCTAACCACTGAGAATCCAGCCCACATCTGATCTTCTAACCTGCATTCTGATACAAATAAGAAGTAAAGAATCTCTGAGATACCGTCTTACTCCTGTAAGAATAGCTAAAATAAAAAACACCAAGGGCAGTTTATGCTGGAGAGGATGTGGAGAAAAGGGAACACTCTTCCACTGCTGGTGGGAGTGCCAACTCATACAGCCACTTTGGAGATTAATATGGGGATTCCTCAGGAAAATGGGAATCAGTCTACCACAAGATCCAGCAATTCCACTCTTAGGCATATACGCAAAAGATGCACATTCATACAACAAGGACATGTGCTCCACTATGTTTATAGCAGCATTGTTTGTAATAGCCAGAACCTGGAAGCAACCTAGATGCCCCTCAACTGAAGAGTGGATAGAGAAAATGTGGTACATTTACACAATGGAGTACTACTCAGCGGAAAAAACAATGGAATATTGACATTTGCAGGCAAATGGACGACACTAGAAGAAACCATCCTGAGTGAGGTAACCCAGACACAAAAAGACAAACATGGTATGTACTCACTCATATATGGATTTTAGACATGGATCAGGGCAGTGCCAGCCTACAATCCCACTGACAGACAGTCTGGGAATCAGGGAGTGTCCCAAGAGAGATATGCATGGTAACCCAGAGAAGGGGAATGGGGCAAGATCTCTTGAGTGGATTGGGAGCATGGGGGGAGGGGAGAGGGAGCTGGAAAAAGAGGGAGAAGAGGAGGGGAGAGGAGGACATGAGGGAGCAGGAAGGTTGAGTTGGGGAAGAATAGAGGAGGGCAGGATGAGAGATACCATAATAGAGGGAGTCATTACAGGTTTGAGGAGAGATCTGGCACTAATGAGATTTCCAGAGATCTACAAGGATGACGCAAACTGGAAAACTAAGCAATAGTGGAGAGGCTACCTTAAATGCCCTTTCCTGATAATGAGTTTGACAACTACTTTATATGCCATCCTAGAACCTTCATCCATTGGTTGATGGAAACAGAGGCAGACACCACAGCTAAACAATGAACTGAACTCCTGGATCCCAGTGGCAGAGAGGGAGGAGTGAAGAGCAAAGGAGTCAAGACCGGGCTGGTGAAACCCACAGAGACAGCTGACCTGAACAAGGGGGCGCTCTTGGACCCCAGACTGATGGCTGAGAGGACAGCATGGGACTGATCCAGACCCCCTAAATTTGGGTGTC